TGATAAGCAAATTCAACTTGACGTTAACAATTTGAACTTGTACTCATAATTTAGTAAAGGAGAAATTGGTTATTTAGAAAATACGAGTTTTATAACTTTGTATTAAAGTATAATCCAAAATAAAAACATTCAATAAAATTATAAATGATCACACATCTCAAATGAATTGAAGTTTACTCGGCTTTTGATGGTAATGCTAGACTGTACATTATTTATTTATGTATGTATCTGTATTTAGTTAGCCCAATGATGTTCTAGGCCCATAGTATGCCACCACTATTAGTATTCAACATCGAACTTCCAATGAATGCTCCAAACTCAAAATGGATTGGTTCATGTGTCTCACTTCGACAACTCTTCTTCCCCCCACTATTCTCAATGCAATAATCGGGGTCAAAATTCGAGTTGTGGAAATTACAATCACAACACCGATCAAAACAGTGGGAGAAGGCGGCGGAAGGCGTGGCGGCAGAGGTGATCGGTTTTGTCGTAGGGGCGGTTGTCGGCAGCAGCACAGCGGAGCTGCCTATCCTCCGGCGTTGGTTGGTAGCAGATGGGGAGGCTGGGTCTTCCAGCCAGATCCAATCCAGAAAGAAAATGGAAGAATTTAATAGGAATTTGTATATTGATTTTCTTTTAAAAAATAAGTCATGGTCACGCATCAGTCAAAAGGAGAACAAATGATGCATGTGGAAGAAAAAAAATTCTTATATTATGGAGTATGGACCAGACTTAGATTAGATTCCCCATTCAACGAAAGAAAATGAAGTTTCATAGAGTATGAGACCCGTTGGAAGAATGTCTAAAAGTATGATACAAAAAACATAAATGTACATATCAAATTGTCAATAATGTCCATGTCCTAGCACAGAAAAATCCATGCGCATAGGTATGTGATGAATATTTATATAAATACTTTTTTCAAACAAAAAATAATTATAGGTTAGAAAAACAAATTACAAAAAGAAGATAGAAAATTTATATATATCCTCCTATGATTTGTTCCTGTTCATCTTCCTGCTAACTATGTGGACACCACTAATTATCTTTTGTTCCTACTCCTGCTCATCTTCCTACTTCTTATCTTTTGTTCCTGCTCATCTTTCTACTCATATGATAATGATATGTGGACACCACTAATTATCTTTCTTAATCTCATATCTTAATTTTAACATTTGTCTTGATCTAATGACTAGAAAGATAGATAAGAACAAAAAATAGGAGGATATTTGATTTCTCAAAAGAGATAGGCATAATATGGTTTTTAGCCTAGCCAACTCCTTTGAGTTTAAGTTTAAACTCTCTGTTAAACAACCACAAATATGATTGAGATATGATTTTATCAAAAATCCTGCCTTTCCTAAGCTTATTTGATCCAAAACGATATGAATTGCAGAAAGTCCAAAGTCCAAGTAGTTGTTAAGACAACTATATTCAAACATTTTCGTTGCATTGCATTAAGACCTAAATTATCAGCCCAAGAAAACCTTTAGCAAATCATTCCAACCAAAGAAATATCAATACCTCACCAATGACCAATTTGTCTCCAAATGGAAGAATCAAAAAGCAAAAAATGATCATAAGATTTGGCAAAGCGAAGTCAAGGAATGGAACCCACTTCCACTCATCTTTTACTCAAATTAACTATAGTTGGCAATTGATCCAACAAAGTTATCCATATCCATATATTAAATTTTATGGGAACGAACTATTCCAGCAAGTAGTATTTTCTCCCACGCTTAGATATTTATATTGTTTAAGTGTCAAATAAACCATTTAAGAATTCTAAAGCATCTTATGTTGAAATCGATTTATTTGATCCACATCATTTATAAGAAGTTATTAAGAAAACAGAAAAGTGACAATTGAGGTCTCGTTGACATATATTGACGTTTATCAAATTTCAGCGACACGTGAACCGTTGTGGAATACGATGGCCTTGTGACTGGTGAGCAACCAAATGTTGACTTGGACCACCATTAATTCCGGAGTCAATAAAACACAATCTATATTTTTTTATATAACATAAGTTATTTTATATTTGAACTTTTTGTTACGAACCACGTTGATTCAATTGTTTTACAAAATCCAGCTATTAATCTAATACAAAATAAGAGAACATAGCAAAAAGTGCTTGTATCTTTCATTTTCAAAAGTAAGATACTATCGAACAAATAGAGAATATATAAAAGTTAACCTCTCGAACCTTTTTATTGTCTTAAACATTTAGGAATATGATCAATAGTGTTGGACATAAACGTTATACTCAACAGTCGCATCACCATTGCTGATATTCAAAGAATGAGTCTTTGCAAGAGCATACCCACGTGCAAACCGGAAAAGTCCACTCCCGCCAACAATGGGAAGCTCTCTCACTGGCGAGAACACCGAATTCCTCCCCAATATACTCAGAGTGCTACCATTATACTTTCCTTCAATAAAAACATAATTCATAGCCATTAACAACCCGACTTGATTCAAGTCAGCAGATGCATAGATCCCCTGAGCTCTTCCCACAATCTTAGAAGTTCTTTCGGGACCCACTGTCAGAGGGTCGTCAATCATGACCATATAACCAAACCCAGTGTGGGAGGTGTTGGTTATGGGCGATTGGGCCACCTGTAATGCGGTGGGGTGATCGCCACCGACTATGTCTTGGAAGTAAAAGTGGAGGTGGCTTAGTTTTTGTTTCTTCAAACCGAGTGATTTTGGTGACAAGTTTCTTGAAAATTTATGGGATTCTCCATGCAGGAGAATTGAGAATAGGAGAATTGTAAAAATGGTATACTTGTGTGGTGGGAGAGTTTGGGCCATTGTGGAGAGAGAGGTGTGAAGAATGGTGACAACGTTTTTCTTCTTATAAACAAGAAAATGTGTGCACTTTTGGGAAAGTTATATTTTATTGTAAGTTTGTTGATTTATTGTATTATGTTATATAATTTATTTATTGTTTAATTTCCAACTGTAGCTGTTCACATGATTTATATTTTGGCTAGAATATAAATATTGTACCCATAATCTACTAGAAACAAAAACTTGTAATAATTATTTGTTACTTTACTATTATGACATGCTCTGTTCTGCATTTGACCTACTTTTAATATAGAATTTTATGAATGTAAACAAATCAATAATTTTTTGTTAAAAAGCACTTGTACGACAGGGAAATCTTCTTTGAAACTTAATGAACATCCACGATTGGACATAAATGTGGAAGGGGCATTATTATAATGTATGATTTGCTTTGTTGTGTGTTGAGAAAACTCTCCAATTTTTTAGTTGTTTGATAAAAAATCTATTTGTTATAAGTAACGGATTCACTGACGGAAATTTAGGCGACAAAAAAAATTGACCGTAACAAAACCAAATAACCAAGGATCCACCACAAAGCACAAATATCTCATGGATTGGTTTTAGCGATGTTTGTGATTAGCAACGACTTGCCACATACTTTTAGCGATGAAAAGCCGTTCCATTCCGTCAAAGTTAACATGCTTTTAAAAGAAAATTTATAGAAAATCCAGATTTTTTTTAATTAAAAGAGAAAAATATAATATAGCATATTAAATACGATACCTTCTCTTCTCTTCTTTTCGAAATTTCAAAGAAAGTAACTTGCATAATAGTTGGTATTCAATAAACATTTTGTCAGAAATTTGGGATGTTATAGCACTTGAAATTCTGAGAATCATAATTATCACTTTTAAATCGAAGTATTTTGGTGGTACTCCCGAAACCCTCAACTGGATAAGACTCAGAAATGGAAAAACAGAAGAAGGGAATGAGATGTTATGATTTTCGTCAGTACCAAATTTATGACCAAAAATGGTTAAGTATCTTTCTCATCGGAAAACTGTCACAAAACAATTTTATGTCCTAAAACTGTCAAAATTATCACAAGGCAGTTTGTAACAGTAAAACACTTTCACAAAATCGGGTATTCTTATAAGGGTTAAAACAAAGTCAAAAATCGGGTTTATTTTCAAGATAAGACCCAATCAGGGGCTCTATCCCTTGAACCTCGCCAGGGGCTGCTGCCCCTAGGACCCCGCTCTCAGGGACGCTGCCTCCGGACCCCCATTTTTTCAGGGGTCTCGCCCTAAATCACAGTCTACTTTGAATCTTGAATAAATTAAACAAGTGTGCACTTTGAACCAACCTTATTTTTTTAAATATTCATCAAGATTTGTAACATCCCGATTGAAATTAAATAAATAATAACTCTAAAACCCCGAGATGTAATTTTGATTATTATTATTATTATTATTATTATTATTATTATTATTATTATTATTATATATATATATATATATATATATATATTTGTAGCTAGAAGTAATAATATTTAGCGGGGTGTTGGTTTCGGGGAGGCAAATGATATGATTTGGAGTTTGGGGGTTAAAGTGTAATTTCGAGTTTTATTTTGTAAAAATTTTCAGAAATCATGGGCTGTTCGGTAAGATTGGGACTTTGTTTGAAAGGATTTTGGATTGCTGGGGGCTGTTTGGAAAAATTACGTACATAAGTTGAAAAGTATTGACACGGAGGGGTTGAAAGTGTAGAAATGTGGAAGATGGCACATGATCGGGCATATAAAACCCATCACCTTCTCGCCATGTTAACCCTGACCCTAATAAGCCGTCATCCGCCACCCTTATTTATCCCGTCTTCAGCCGCCAACCTTATGACCCCCACCACCGGCCGCCGTTTCCTCGCCTGCTGAAGCCGGAGAACCACCAAGATGTCACCGTCGTCACCCCTATCGCCGTTCGGCTGCTGATAAAGCCGAGAACGCCGAAGACCGTCGTCGTGGTTATGTGTCGTCATGTCCGGACGCGTCTCATCTTTCTTCTTCTGATTCGTTCTGTTCGTCATCATTCACGTCGCTGGTGTCAAGCAATAACCGCCAAGGAATCACACCGTCCGCCACTGCTGTCGTGTGGCTAGCTGTCGTCTTCGCCGCCTTGCGGCTGGTCATTCTGTCATGGTTCTTCGACGTCTTTCTGCTGCCGTTAGGGCCCCGGTTGCGTGTGGTAGCCTCAGTTTGGCTGTGGGTTTCAGATAAGTATGTACTCGGCAGAATTCTTATCACTGTATATATTTATTGTATGTGTGTATGGGGTGTTTGTGTAGCCGGAAAGCAAGAGCACCACCATGGCAGCAAACCATGGTGGTTGCCGCCGTTTATACCCTTTCTGCCGCCACCAGCCACCGTGAGGAGTGGCTGTGTGCGTGTTATGGTGTGGGAGTGAGTGTATTTGATGAGTGTGTTGTATGTATTTGTTTGGCCGGAGTTCTCGAGAAAAGCCACCACCACCACCATGAGGTGGTGGCTGCCACCTCCAACCACCGCCTGCCGCCACAAGGGTGGTTGGGTGTGTGTGTGTATGTGTTATTTGTGTGTGTGCGTTCAGTTGGATATTGCGTTGTAATATTGTATTTTGATTGGAATGATTAAGGAAATCCGTCAACACCACCGTGAGGTGGTGGCCACCGTCGTGAGCCGCCATTGACCCCCACTACCCAAGGTGGTAGTGGGTGGTGCCCGACCTAATTAGCAGTTAATTAACCTAAAAACTTAACAAATGGATTAATTGGAACATGATTGGGTTGGAAACCCTAATTAGGGTTTAGTTTACCCTAATTTTGGGTTTGTTGGTTTGGGCTCATCGGGACCCGCATTTTGGGCCATTGGAATTGAAATATGAATTACACCTAATCACACCGTATGATTTATCTAGTAGAGTAATGGACTTAATGGATTAAGTCCTTAATGGGATAAGTAAGAAACACTTAACCCTAATCGTCATTTTATGTGAAAAACCCTAATTGGGTTTGGGTTCTTATTGGGCCACTTCTTGGACTGACTTGCTATGGGCCTTCGTGGGCCAAATGGGGAACATGCTTATGGACTAAGGAAATTATTGGGCCTTTTGATAAGGCACATTGGAAAGGATTAGGCCAAATTTGGAAAATTGGGCCATAATTGGGCCTTGATGATTATGAGATATTGGTCCATCAGAATGCCAAGTGTTTGGACTAGAATAAATGGTTGGGCCATATGATAAGACCATGTAGAGGTTTGGGCCCAATTTGGAAAATTGGGCCATATGTTGGGCTTTGGTTCATTGATTGGTTGTTGGGCTTTCAGAGTGTGTGGTTGGACCTTGGTTTTGGACCAAGTTAGGTTAAGGGTAAAATAGTATTTTTACCCCAATCATGGACGTATGGTTGTGTATTGGAACCTAATTATTAATTGGGCCTTGTTTTGATGTTGACAGTTCGGGAATCTGTCAACCAGGAGCTAGAGTTTTATCCGCAGGACTTCGGCAGCTCCAGGTGAGTCTTCTCAACATACCAATGGGTCTAAGGCACCAAGTCCGGCTCATTTATTTAGTTGTGTTGATTATTGTGAATGTGCTATCGATACATTATGTATGTATGTGAAGACCATGTTGGGGTTCCCATGGCAATTAGTTATATGTGGTATGCTAGTTGATTGTGTGGTATTTGGTGTGCTAGTTGTCTTTGTGATACTTGCATGGAAGACCTCGGGGGGGGGGGGGGGGGTCCC